ACTAGCATGTTTCATTACACTACTAGTATGTCTCACTCTATTCTAATATGTTTCACTATACTACTAGTATGTTTCACTCTACTACTAGTATGTTTAACTATACTACTAGTATGTTTCACAATACTGCTAATATGTTGTACTATAGTACTAGTGTGTTTCACTATAGTACTAGTGTGTTTCACTATACTACTAGTATGTTTCACTACACTACTAGTATGTCTCACTCTATTCTAATATGTTTCACTATACTACTAAAATGTTTCACTATACTACTAGTATGTTGTACTATAGTACTAGTGTGTTTCACTATACTACTAGTATGTTTCACTACACTACTAGTATGTCTCACTCTATTCTAATATGTTTTCACTAAACTACTAATATATTTTACTATACTACTAGTATGTCTCACTCTATTCTAATGTTTCACTGTACTACTATTAGCATGTTTCACTACACTACTAGTATGTCTCACTCTATTCTAATATGTTTCACTATACTACTAGTATGTTTCACTATACTACTAGTATGTTTTACTATAGTACTCGTATGTTTCACTACACTTCTAGTATGTCTCACTCTATTCTAATAAGTTTCACTATACTACTAGTATGTTTCACTATACTACTAGCATGTTTCACTACACTACTAGTATGTCTCACTCTATTCTAATATGTTTCACTATACTACTAGTATGTTTCACAATACTAATAGTATATTTCACTATACTACTAGTATGTTGTACTATACTACTAGTGTGTTTCACTATACTACTAGTATGTTTCACTACACTACTAGTATGTCTCACTCTATTCTAATATGTTTCACTATACTACTAGTATGGTGTACTATAGTACTAGTGTGTTTCACTATACTACTAGTATGTTTCACTACACTACGAGTATGTCTCACTCTATTCTAATATGTTTCACTATACTACTAATATGTTTCACTATACTAGTAGTATGTTTCACTATACTACTAATATGTTTCACTATACTACTAGTATGTTGTACTATAGTACTAGTGTGTTTCACTATACTACTAGTATGTTTCACTACACTACTAGTATGTCTCACTCTATTCTAATATGTTTCACTATACTACTAGTATGTTTCACTATACTACTAATATGTTTCACTATTCTACTAGTATGTCTCACTCTATTCCAGCATGTTTCACAACACTACTAGTATGTCTCAATCTATTCTAATATGTTTCACTATACTACTAGTATGTTGTACTATACTACTAAAATGTTTCACTATACTACTAGTATGTTGTACTATAGTACTAGTGTGTTTCACTACACTACTAGTATGTCTCACTCTATTCTAATATGTTTCACTAAACTACTAATATATTTTACTATACTACTAGTATGTCTCACTCTATTCTAATGTTTCACTGTACTACTATTATGTTTCACTATACTACTAGCATGTTTCACTACACTACTAGTATGTCTCACTCTATTCTAATATGTTTCACTATACTACTAGTATGTTTCACTATACTACTAGTATGTTTTACTATAGTACTCGTATGTTTCACTACACTTCTAGTATGTCTCACTCTATTCTAATAAGTTTCACTATACTACTAGTATGTTTCACTATACTACTAGCATGTTTCACTACACTACTAGTATGTCTCACTCTATTCTAATATGTTTCACTATACTACTAGTATGTTTCACAATACTAATAGTATATTTCACTATACTACTAGTATGTTGTACTATACTACTAGTGTGTTTCACTATACTACTAGTATGTTTCACTATACTACTAGTATGGTGTACTATAGTACTAGTGTGTTTCACTATACTACTAGTATGTTTCACTACACTACGAGTATGTCTCACTCTATTCTAATATGTTTCACTATACTACTAATATGTTTCACTATACTAGTAGTATGTTTCACTATACTACTAATATGTTTCACTATACTACTAGTATGTTGTACTATAGTACTAGTGTGTTTCACTACACTACTAGTATGTCTCACTCTATTCTAATATGTTTCACTATACTACTAATATGTTTCACTATTCTACTAGTATGTCTCACTCTATTCCAGCATGTTTCACAACACTACTAGTTTGTCTCAATCTATTCTAATATGTTTCACTATACTACTAATATGTTTCACTATACTACCAGTATGTTGTACTATAGTACTAGTATGTTTCACTATACTATTAGTATGTTTCACTATACTACTAGTATGTTTCACTATACTACTAGTATGTTTCACTATACTGCTAGTATTTTGCACTACAGTACTAGTATGTGTACGTAATTCAACTCGAGATTCTCATGTCAGCTGAACATGTTTGCGATTTATCACATTAAAGGGCGGTAGTCGTCGGGCCACACATGCTTGAGATATATGGGTCTCATATAAACAAAGATGGAGACTATTGACTGTTACGCAGATTAACGTGTACAGACTGAGACGTTACCAAGCTTTAATTAAGGTATTTTTTATGTGATTGGAAAGTATGGAAGGAATCACCGGCGGTAATCAGTGCAAGTTGCGCCCAGGTGAAACCTCATACTTGTGACTTTCATTAGAAGAGCGCATTGGATTGTGGGAAAATCAATGTTTAGCAACACAAGTGTCGCGCATGCGCAGCGCGACGACTGGCGCCCTTTAATTATGTTTAACAACACATGAGTTAGTTATTCGTGTTAATTCATGTAATTTACTGGAATATATAGAGTTGAGTATTTGATGATCATGTCCCTGTGATACAACTCAACACACTATAATTGTTTGAAATGAAGATCGACCATCTAACCATCATGTTATTTCAGCTTCGTTATTTACGTGAATGGCGTACACAAAGTTTACATAGTCAATGTCCTTTTCTGCCTTAATAAACAATGTGTTATGTGTAACTAAGTAACCACGAATGGCGCTTCCTATGGGTGCTACTAGTACAAACTCTAACTAGCTTAAATTTTGTGAAGAATATGATTATATGGGTTATAATAAAAACGGTAAACAAATCCAACTTTCACCTAATCCCGGTGTGACTCATCTCAACCGTATGTCTATGTTATATAGTTACAATAAATTATATTACCAATTATCATAGTATTGGAACAGCTAAGAGCTCATAAACGTCAGACAGCTGATCCAAATCAACATCCAATAAAATGAATTCAACGCGGTAGGCGTTAAATAACATGTGATAGGCTAATTGTTTGTTCCTGTTAGATTCATGGTTCCGTTAATCAGGTGAATATTCTGTTTGGGATTTATGCAGTCACGTTTAATTTATAACAATTACACTAAGAGACTAATGAGAACACTTTAATGATAAACATTTTATGACTTATAACATCATGGACGATAAAACCTCAATGACGTCAAGAAAGATATTTTTCTATCTTTAGATAACGGACAGCTGACTGTAGGCATGTTGAGTTTTCATCAAAATTTGCGGTGCATATTTGAAGACGTTGGAGAAATCTGGGCCAGCGGGGAGAGACCATCAAGTATTAATCTCCCTCTGAGACTTCTCACAGACTCTGCGTTGTCTTCTTATCCCCCTTTTCTTAGCTTAGTCAATTGATGTCTGTTGAAACTTGTCCTCGCAGAGACTCATGAATGTTAACAATTTCTCGACTTTCTAAACCATTCTCAGGAAATTAATACATTTTTCATTGTTCATATAGATTGAAACATCTTATTTGTCATTCAAAAGTACGTTTATTGAAAAGTCGATCAAAAATGCAAAAATAAATCTGCTTTATTCATTACAAATTTAATGTTCATCTAATGTAAAATATTGCAGATGTCCACAAATAGAATGTCAAAGTGTGACTGCACATTCCGAATCGTCTGATATATGATATATATGATATATATATGATATATACGATATATATGTATAATATTATCAATGTGCACACATACTCTTGTGGAATCTTGACATGGCATTCAATGTTCAACTTATATACAATACATGAATATAATATTGTGGTCGTCCACATATATCTGTCAGATCTGTTATTATCTTCAATTAGCTTTTGTTTTGTCTTTTATTACCTTTATACAGTAAGTGTGGGTTTACTATATTGTAGTGGCTTGGATAAAATGTCTGAAATGTTTGATATTACTCTCAGAAGGCATACAATGTTATATATATGTATGATATATGTATCTATGTGCTTACATTGTGGACATGAAGTTGTAACTACAATTTAATACGAATACTACTGCTTCGTTATTTTGAACATTGTGTCTGTTAAATATTGAATCATTTGGAAAGTGTTGTTACCGTTTTCAAACGTCGTCTCCCACCACAGGTAACACAAAATACCGTGGTTTTATGAAGAGAATCATATAGTAATGTCAACTTTGTTACGTATTATAGCCATGAAAACGTACACAGTTTGTAGACGAATGTTCACTGCGGATATGGAATTTTTATTTCACCTCAATATTAATTTATTCTTCCAAAATGGCTTGTGTACGTAAGTAGTACTACTAACCCCCTAGGGGCGTTTTGAGAAGAAACGTCATGAATACTCTAGCTCTTCAAATAGAAAGCCCAATCGTTGTATATGGGGCGATTATTTAAATCTGCCCACGTCTGTGAAACGACATGCGTCTTGAATAAAATTTGAATTTCATTTGCATGTTTAATATCATATTAAATCGACTTATGACCGATCACCATATCGTATATAAGGAGCACTGACTTGGCACTGCCACTCAAAGGTACGGCAGAGACTGGCTGGAGCTTTCTTTTCCATTTTCTGAGAAGTTTGAATTTGAGTTTTTTGAGTTGCAACTTAAGTATCCTCACTTGACACTAGAAGCAGTTATCAAACCCACGGAGGTGAGTACTTGTTCTTTCTTGTGAATGAAATGACAGCCGTTTCTGTCCAGTTATATAATGATAATAATAATGTTACAATTGATGTATTATATACTATGCACCAGTTGAAAACTTCACAGCTCATGTAAGTAATAATGACTCACACCTTGTATAAAGATACATATAGTGGATATATGTATATATAAAAGAGGTCACGTGGTAGGAATCGAACCGTCAGTTTAATGAGGAACCAGAATGCATGTAACTACGTTTATCATCGCTCAGTAGTTCATATCGTATGTATGGGTAATTGTTGTATTAGAAATCGTGAATAGAATATGAATATGAATATTAAATTCGAAAAGCAAACTATCACAACGGAATATGTATATTCTGCTGTAGTCTAATTAGAGTTCATAGAGAGTATTGACAAGGTATTCAGGGCAGATAGCAATTTACAAATATATCTTCCTAATGCATGCCGTACCGCCAGGTGACGACAGTGTATTATTTATTAATTTTCAATATGTAGTACAATTTTACTGTGATTATTATGCAGAAAATTGTAGACAAACACGCCTCCAACTCGCTGGTAGAGAAGAAAAGCCCATGTCTCAGTGGGGATTCTGTAATCTCTATTTCAAAGTGAGGATAAGACTGAATTCAATTTGCTGGAGCCGTTATCGCACAAAGGCATTGTCCAGGCAAAGTATTAAATTCTGTAAATCGCGGTTGCTTAGATTGAAACTACATTTTTTTTTCAACCACCATTGCGAAAAGCGAAAAGAATATTCCCGCCTACTTTTAAACAGAGGCCCAATTTGAAAAGATATTTCTTCTATTTACAAGCATAATCCCTTTCTAAATATTTGACCCAAAGATGTAGCCGTAATTGTTGCATGGATTAAAGATTCTCTCGACCTATGAGCCCATAATAATCCGTACTTAAAATATATCTCAAGAAATCCCTAGTATTAGAATATTGAATGTCCAGAATCCTTCTACTTCGATTGTTCAGGAGTTTTAGCGAAATTAAGACGTACCTATGCATGCCTGTTGGCGAAAAGATGTGCAGCCAATAAGATGATTGAAATTGTGATCTGCAAAAATATATAGTATAGGATTTAATCATGAACTTTATAATCACACGCTCATATCTTTAAGGAAAAACAATTCGGCCCATGACCTCAAGCAAATTTAGCAATATCCCAGTTTTCGTTTATCTGGAAAAAAAATGCCTCAATGAGGTGAAGCTAAACATATTGTGATAGGCCAACCCCATTGCGCAGATAGAGCATTGAAAGATAATTCATTGATAAAAAAATCTGTTCACTTCATAAATTAATCAGGCAGTAATCAGGGTAATGGCGCGTTGCATAAATGTTTTACTTGGAGTTGGCCAGAGGCACTCAGGCCAAACAGATTAGTAGTTATTCGTGAAAGTGTACCCCAAAACAAATTATAATAGGCACGATTCATGGGTTATTTTCACAATATATGGATATCTACTAGTTTGATATTTAATATTCCGATTCACGTTTGCTGTATATCTACAAATTTAGTTCACCTGAGTAGTAAATGTGAAAAGTGATGTTTTTTTAGTTTCTCGCTACTACACTAGATCCCAATAGTGAATATTACAACTCTCACATAGAAATAGATGCGTGTTTGTATGCCATTCCCTGTATATGGAATGTATAAAAGATAATTTCAATGGAGTGGCTTGTATATTCAAGAAAGTAGATTCTCAAAGCCTTTCGACTATTAAGAAGATTAGGCTCTTGCCAGCTAATTATTGTAACGCAAAACTACGCTTTCAGAGTGCCTTATGTAAGATGCTGACATCTCACGAAATTATCGGTATGTAAACACGCTTCGGATGCATCGATCGAATTGCCCAATTTGTAGGGATAACACTTTTACGTCCATCTGCTGATGTCATTATAAAATAGTTTACTACTACATTCGTAACGAGGGATTAGCGGTAACTGGCATCAATGCATTAATAATTGTTCATCTTCTTGGGGTTCTCGGTATTTTAGTGCAAGGAAAACACCGTCACTTTGTGCCAAAGACAGTGTACAACAAGAAGCTACATTCTAAAAATACGTAAAATGAGCAATTCTAATATCAGATAGGTGTAACTCACATAAATAATGAAATGAAAGCAAGAGTACTGATAGGAAACGGTAGTACACTTTTGACTACCAATAACAAATATTATAGTAAAGACGGGCACACTACGAGGAGTGTCTAAAATTAAACGACGATATTTCCTTTAATTTAATAATGTTTCAATAATACTGCCTCTTGAGCGACATTCAGTATTACTTTTTGGGCCCTACACTGATTGATGAAGTCTAGATTTTATTAAAGGTTCCACGTAATATAGTTGGTGAAAAGTGTAATAAAGAAAATGCATTCCTTGAAGCTGCAATCGAGTTTACGCATACTGAGGGGCATTATGTATCACGTCACGACATTGTATTTAATTTGAACATATCCCCAAATATACAGGTCATCATATTCAAACAAATATTAGATATAATTCAATTCCAACATGGTAAAAAATGTTGATAAAAGAATAGAATAGAACATGATATATACTTTTTCATAACCCATTGCAAATGTCGTACCTATATTTGCGACCGATATTATTGAATATATAGCATTCATTTCATTTCATTATAGTGTGAATATCAGCAACACGTACATAGCAGGTAGATATTAGTTGCTTATTAAAACAGTATACTTCACATTTTTTCGTTGTAACGATTACACAGCTGAAATGGTTATTTTGTTTCTGAGTAAGAAATGACGACACACGCGAAAATCCAAGGAGAGAAGAATTTCGAAAACATATTATATACTCTACAGCCGTAATGTTCGTTATTCTTCAGTAGATGTATCGCGTATTTGGCAACATTCAAACACAACACATACTTGTACACTCACATTACCGAGATGGGACACAGGAAGAGGCATTGTAAGACAATCTACATCAATAAATGGTAATTATTATTTAACCATTTAACCATAATAAAGATATCAGACAATCTGACACTCGGTTATAATGCAATGTCAAGATACAATATATAACTTTTGACTGTGGATGATAGAAAATTTCATTTCTAGTTTGTGACGAAATGTTTTCAATTCGTTTGTAGCTTGTCAGTGCCGAAAAACGTATTGTGCCCTGAGGCAAGACATACATTTGAAAGCATTATTGTACAAATTACATTCCATTCTCTCATTACACGACAGGGATTGGAGGTTATAGCGCCCCATGGCTATGAAATAAACCACGAAGTAGAATTTCTATAAAATCTGAAAGTAAATTATCTCGGGTCGTCGTATTTCTTTGATTCACACTCGAATTCCGTGAGTAAAATGCAGTCATAAAATGCAGCTATTTCCGGGAAAGGTGATATTGTTAAGTAATTTAACTAAATAGTGGATAATTGGTGTTATAACATGACATATGATGTAGCATCAGAGATTACTGTTATCGCTAAATGACATCAGCGTTTCTATCAGAGACAATTTCTGTTAATATTCACCAATAAGTTTATAAATGAAAACCACTCGGTGCTCTGTGTGTAATACAGCGTTGATAAAACAAGAAGTGACGCATAGATACAATTCTCAATATTATCAGGTTAGAAAGACAGCGTGAGAGATGAATAAAACAATTTTCGGCAAAGAATAGTATATATGTAGAAAGCAAAAGTAAAGTGCGCTGCTATATAGTTTCGGTAACGTGTTTCGATTTCAGTCATCCACTATAAATACTCGCTCGTTATCGTTATCTAGGCAATTCAGATCTATTGGCTTAGAGATTGGACACCGGGAATAATATATATCATTGATAACTTTTTAAAATAAAAAAATAATAATCCCGAAAAGCGATATATCGAATGTAAATTGTGGAATAATACCGCATAATGTTCACTTGGTAGTTTAAACGGACTCAGTGACTTAGAATTAACGAGAGTTGTACAATCTGAAACTAACGAAACGAACGTTAATGTTACATAACCGATTATTAATAGTAATAAAGGCTTGAGTCGTGATTGTACACTATGTACATATTTCAATATGTTGAATGAATATGTCATGATATACACTGTCACATGCTGTTGTACTGAAAATAAATAAATCAATAAATACAATTGATTATACATTGTGTTCACATCTTAGAACGATGACGTATAATATTTCAATTCGACTACGATAGCTTTGGTCACAATTTTAAATGTTGGTTATTTTACGATGTGTGTTTCGTGATTCATGGTTGATGATTTAATGACTATGACCATGTATGCTAATGCAGGCAACAAAGACTGCTGCAAATGTTTCCGCTTTTCCAATTTTCGTGGATTCATGGATTATTGAGCGTGGTAGGGGATCCTATAAGCGCTTTACCTTATAATTGAATTAAATTATTGGTATCGGAGCACAGAAGGTCACACTTATTAATACAACCACTGCAATGTATTCACTGGTTGAACATTACAATTTCATGGCTTAAAACTAGAAAGGTGACACGGTTACTGCGAGAACAGAATTAAAACATACACAATTTAATGAGTGTTTGTGTTATCACTATTCGGGGTTACCACATTAAGATCGGAGAGTAAGACGGCAAGAAGTAAAACACATTTCCCACATACTAGCACACCGATAAGACTACAGAGGGTCACATACTTATTTGTTATCGGTTGTTAATTAGTAATAAGTAACATAGTAATTTGAACAGTTCAAATGTAGTTACGATAACCATGTACTATATGTTGGCAGTCGAAAAAAATCAATCAATTGCAACATATGAGTATCAGCTGTCCTCGTGAATTGCGTTGACATTATAGAACACTTATTTGCTGAGGCAGACACTTTGATCGCATCGGTGGTTAAATCACCATGGGTCGCCTGTCAAAAAGTGATATCAAAAACAAGGCAAATGATCGGAATATTGCTGTAGTTCCAGTGTGATAAATTACCTGCAATTCGCAGGCGTCATG